GTTTACAGACGAACGATGTCATCCGTAACATCCTCACCCATCGAAAGATTCTCAAAGGCATGATCGGCAAAAAGGGTTCCAAACCGAAACCAAAGAAAACATCACACAGTTTCAGAAACTGGTCACAGACGACCCTCACGAAAATGTCTTATAGGATTCCTATATATTCCTAAAAGAATATATAGGAATCCTATAGGAACCTAAAGGAATCCAATAGGATCCTATATGCCCCATAGAGTTCAGTTTGGGACCTATAGAGTTCCCTATAGAACCTATAGATCCCCCAATAGAACCTATAGAGTTTCTTATAGAACCTATAGATCCCCCTATAGAACCTATAGGGTTCCCTATAGAACTAATAGGGTTCTCCATAAGGCCTATAGGTTCCCTATAGGACACAAACGGTTCTGTATAGGACCCGTAGGTTTCCCTATAAAACCTATAGGGTTCCCTATAGGACCTGTAGGGTTCGGTATAGGACCTATAGGGTTCCCTATAGGTCTTATACGGAATCCTATATACCTATAGGGTTCGGTTTGAAGTTCTCCTCTATACCACTAGATGGAAGTATTGGGTTCTCACATTTCTGAAAGGGCACAAAAGTGCCCTCCCCTTACCCAAGGAATCATCTCTCACAAGAGAGTTTTGTACGTCCCCAAATGTCTCGCCTTGCCTCATTGTAGCAATCAATAAACTTCGAGAGTTCCTTATTTGTCATCCCCATTTTCCAGATATAATCATGGAGTCCCGTGAAGAAATATGCCCTTATTCCTATTGAAAACCACGTAGGAAAATTAGTAAACTCTATCCAAAAGGAGTTTTCTAAGGAGACGTGCTCGCAGGTTCTGTCTTCTGTTTCTGAGGTCAAGAGAAGAATACTACTTCTTCCTACCGAAGAAAGTAGACGTGCAATCCAGCGACACATGTGCGGCAGGGCCATAGATTATGCAGACCCCCGCATTACAGGTGTTAATAATGCATGTGTTCCTACCATGGAAGAACCCCTAATCGGTTTTTGATTTACACCGAAATGCTGCGCCATTATTAACCACGGTCGCCTTTTCCGTCGTAATGCCTGGGTTTCGAAACCCAAAATATCCTCCCCGAATCCTATAGGTCAGGAGACCTATAAGACCTATAAGGTAGGTTTTTCGTGTTTCAAAAACCTATAGGAAAGTCTATAGGTTTCCTATAAGAAATATCTATAGGTTTCCTATAGGACATTTCCGTAAGGGGAGCTATGTGACGTCGACGACGTAAATAGGGATTTCCCTGCCGATGTTGACAGCAACAAACAGCACGGTCGAAGCGAAAGGAAGACCGTAAACGTCGATTGACGACGAATCGAAAAACGTTTTAGTCATTTGAGACAAAGATTACTGCCGAGAATCGACGACCTAGGACGTCACGTCGGAGATCGCGTCACTACCGTGCGCCTCGAAAGGAAATGAAGGATGGGTCTTGAAGCGAATAAATGCATTGAATGTGGGCATGTCTGCCTCTCCGCGGTTCGGAACAGCGATGCTGGGAGAAAAATGGTTTTACCGACACGGTGGTTGCATAGTGTTAACATAACATTTTCTTCGTGGACAGAGAATTAACCCCCTCATTAGGTTGTGTTTTGTCGACACGTCGTCGTCTCGGTTGAATGGAAGAGCGCCTTTGTGTTTCTATTTCCACAGGTTCGAATCCCGTTACAGGCAGTTCGTTCAGCAAACCCCATAGTCGTCTCAAGTGTGTGATACGGCCATGGATTCGAATCGCCACGAAGGAAAGTTTTTTTTCTCTGTCGCTGCAGAGGTGATGGAGGGCGTCGAGCGGGATGAGAAGACACCCCTTGCGAAAATGTCTTATAGGATTCCTTTATATTCCTTTAGGAAGATATAGGAATCCTATAGGATCCTATATAGATATAGGATCCTATATAGATCCCATAGAGTTCAGTTTGGGACCTATAGAGTTCACTATAGAACCTATAGGGTTCCCCATAAGGCCTATAGGTTCCCAATAGGACCCGTAGGGTTCCCATGGCATTATCTTCGAGGCCGACATTTGGGCCTTACACTTGCAAGAGGGCGAGGAAGATGTATGGCTGTTGCTCCAACACCTTCTGCTGTAAAAAAAAAAATAATCGGATCACTCCAAGTTGCTCCTCCTTGGACACTTGCATGACAGGCAGGGTACACTTTCCACCTCTTGTGCCGCACGGACCGCCGATAAGTACACGGTTTGCCGCTCACGATGCTCTATACAGTATATGCGCCGTGTCCTATGGCAACCACCACGCATGTACAAAATCACGTTACCACCCAGCTACGCCGATTGGCTCATTTTAAGTTGAACGCCCTTATATATTTCTTCTAAATTGGTGAATCAAATTTCGCGTGACGACAGAGCACGATATCCTTGCAGAAGTACGATATCCAGAATGCGAAAAAGAGGAAGGCAATGAAAATTTGCTTAGCAGAACCCGGATTTTTCGTCCCCTCAATCCCCACCTCCCATTGTGGGATGATGGAGGTGGGATTTTAATGCGCATTTAATGTCCTGTCGAAGATAGTGGCCCTTCGGGAACTTATTGAGACAAATCGGACGTGCTCTTTTTTTTTATCGATTGAGAGACTAACGGTTTCATGTGTCAAGCCAGGTTCCCAGGGAGGAATGCTGGTGTGCCTGTGACAGAAATTGGTTGGGAAGTGAGAAATTTGTGAGAAAGAGAAATTTTTGAGAAAGAGTAGGATGATGGCAAAACCTTCGCAACCTGTCTACTTGCATTGATTAATTCGTTCCGCTCCGAGTCACTCATCCGCGGGTCTGGTTCTCCAAATTTTCATCAAGACATTGCCGATGCGATTCCTTCGAACGTGCTGGT